AACGACACCAATATGGTGTACTTGGCTGGCAAGGTAAAGAAGTATATTCAAAACCTGTTAATTTTTCGTCGATGAAATATTCATTGGATTAATTTAACACCAGGGTGACGGTAACATCCGATACTACGAAGTGGTGAACGAAGCTCCATGGATGCACTACCTGAGCCAATTCATCTCTGGAAATCCGCAAAGAGGATTAGGCGTGATGCCTAAGAGAGGCATCACCACCTCAATATGCGAGGTGTTTAGATTCTATAAGTTACACGCGACACGTGGAATGTGCGAGCCGATAGCAATGATAGTTCCTCGAAAGGTGAATTTATTAAAGTTCGACAAGTCAAAGTGAACGAACACGATTTACAGGGTACTTTCACTTTTCTAGAGTGACCAATTCCAAGAGGACCTGTATCCTGACACCATTGGCACTTGTCCAGCTTTATCGGCCAGGGATTGGATCAGCGGTATGAACAGTCCACCGGTACTAATTTCACTGAAAACCGGTACGATCGTTGAACTTTTCACCTTATCGGATGATTTTTTTCTTATTCTTTGCTGTTACTTAATTTCGTCGTTTTAAATGTTAACAGGTGGCAGTATTACCACGCACAAACCTCGCGTTTACAAACCACCTCAACTTCCACCGACCACTGACTTGAATAATAAAAAGAAATTCGCCTTTTTGTCTACCGAGACTGTGCCAGATTACAGGCCAATCGAGTTTCACGATATGTCAGAGAAAAGTCAGAAAACCTCTAGCAATCAGAGCACCAAGTTCCAGCAGTTGCAACAAAAATTTGGCAATGCTGTCTTACAGGTATTACTTTTAGTAGTTCTAAGGAATTTTTGTGAAATTTGCAGACAAGTTCTGAGCTTGTTTAGTTGGAGAATATCTTGCATAATGTGTGAAGACTTTTATAAATAATTATCCATGTATTTTCTAGAAAAATATCATTTCTACGAACGATAATAAAGTCTTGGAAACGGTGGACATTCCTAACAACGAGGCTGAACTGAGATTAGCGTTCGCTCGTCAGACAGACGAGCTAAGATTGGTGCGAAGACAGCTCACGAATAGTCAGCTACGTGTGAAAGAGCTCGAGGAGCAGATTCGTAAGCTCCAACGTCAGTAAACCCCTGTTCAGGATCCTTAACGTATGCTTCAAAATAAAATTCCTTGTAGCTTTGTTGCTAGTTGTACGAGAAACATGGTACTTAAAGAAACAATTAACGCGTACGTGTATTGTTAATGGCAATATAAAAATGCCTAGGCTTTCGACAAGAACAAGAAAAGAAAAGAAAAAAAAAAAAAGAAGTTTGCACAAAAAGAGATGGTGCAGAAGAATCATCGATGGTGTTCGAATAACTTTATAAACCGGAAAAAACTTATGCTGGCTGTATACTGAATATATTAACGCAGCTACACGTTTTATCTAGCGTATCCTGTGAACGATATACGATGCATTTTTACAGCATTTCTCGTCTCTCTCTATGCGTTATCTTCTCTATTCGCAAATGCTCGCGTGACGATCTCGTATCGTCGTGAGAACGCAAAGAAAAAAGAAAAAAAAAAAGGAACACGCAACAATGAAGCAACAATAATTTAGTCAATTTCTTTAGAATGCAGTTCGAAAGATATTCTACTGTAGAGAAGCTGAACAAAAAAAAAAGATGAACAAATGTGATTTACACTATTGCCTTCACTATACAGACGAGTTTTTGTCTATATAAAATGTTGATATTTCTCCAAGATACAATTTTAACGAATTTTCTACACTGTCCACTTCTGTGATCACTTTTTGGAATTCATTTCTCCACACTTGCACTCAAGGAAATGCGTGTGTACACGTTACCGACTGTTCCAACTTCTCCTTTTCCTCTTGATTTTCATTTGAATCTTTTTTGTTTGCCGTGTGTGAAACTATAACGAGAAGGAGAAAGATCAGCTTGATATAAAGACGTAAAACTTGGACGAAGTATTAAAAATGTTCAGTACATGAAGAATCGTACCTGTCTTGTGCGTACGCACGATTATCGTATGCAATTCGTTCTATTATAGAATTGTCGTACATAGAGTGATAGATAAATGCAGAGATATTTAGGAGTTGTCGAGAGAATATTATGGACGCAATAAAAAAGAAAGAAAAAAGGAAAGAAAAGAAACGAACATCTATTTGGAGACTCGAAAATAGCACAAGATGCAAGGACTAATAACGACTAATAATTAAAATTAAGATATCCTGGAAATGAGATTGCAAACAAATCGTTCGATGCATTTCTCTTTGTAATATTTGTCCTATTGATCTTTCGTTCAAATGAATTTTTTTTTTTTTTTTTTGAACAATTTTAACGATATTTATTCTTTTATTTTTTACACGAACCTGACGATCGTTCATTTCTCGATGTTCATAGTCGATTATACATACGTTTACGAATTCCGTTACTAATGGCTGTACATTAATTTATCTGTTTATTTAAAGAAAAACAAAAAAAAAAAATCAACTACCAATGTGTTCGATTTCGTATACGTTTCGCTTTTTGTTTCGTACATAAGATGTAAACGACGGTGTAGCTAGCTTATTAACATTTAAGCTACCTTGTATTTGTCAAGTGTATTGATATCACTGCCACAGTTCACACTGCCATGTCAATAGTGGCAATATAATTTTTTTAGCAAACGCATGGCAGTGACGATATATTTATTATACACTAACCGATTAGTTTTCAAAAATTAGGCTGAAACTTCTTTTATACGGTTAAGCATATAATCACGTACTATACGTGCATAATAACGAAGACTTCATTAATAAGAAGAAAAAAGAAATAAAGGAAAAGGTGATTGAGATGAGCATTGATTAAAAAGAAAAAAAACAAAGAAAAGAAAGACAAACAAAAGGAATGAATTATCATACACCGATCGTTCCGGAGGGAAAGATGATACTGTAACAAACTTTTATTCACTTCTATTTATAATTATTCTATGTATATTATATATACGCTGATAAATATGTGTGTGTCAAATTATACATTTCTAGGACCAACAAACCGGGGAAATTGTTAGCTAACAAGAAAATTCTATTACTGCTTGATAGCGATCAGATTGAGTAACGGTTTATATACACTGTTTATACATATACATATATGTATTTTTCATACGATATAATATAGTTGTAAAACTTCGAGCGATAAAAGATATAAAAAAGAAAAAAGTGAAAGAACGAAAAGAATACTTAAGTGAATATTACTAACAGTAACTTATACGTGTAATATGCTTGTGTTCAATGCGCATCAATTATTGTAAAAAAAAAAAAAAAAAAGAACAAGAGACAAAGAATTAAAAACGGAAAGCATCATAATCGTTATTGAACTTTTCAAACGATGATGAACGTTTCTTTCACTCTATGTTTCTTTTAATATTGAACACAACCATACGTGCAAACAGAAATCATTGATAAAATTCTGTTACCAGGTATAACACAGTAGACAATGTATTGCGTTAGAAGTGAAGTATCGTAATATTATTGATATTATGCTCGATATTAGTCTGTGTGTGCATTATTTTCGTTTCACGACCATAAACTTCTATACGATGATAGAAATGCTTGCGTGAAAGTGTGCATTATTTCCGAAATTTCCATCATGGCGGCCGCGCTTGCCAGAAGTAAACATCGGTTTCGCAGTCTTATATAACTTTGTATTGCTCGATATAGTGATTTTTGCTTAACGACCTCTGACGAACGTGTATCGTCGTATCGAAGAGTGCTATCCTATGTAAACACGGTTCACTGTCTAAAACACGGATATACCAAAGAACGTGCAAGTACCTTAAACACGGATTATCGTCGTGAGACAATTTATTATCAACAGTTGATCGACTAATCATAATTATATTTATACGCGGAGAAATGAGTACGTATCTGTAACACGAGTGGGGATCTCGTTCGTGAATAAAGAACAAAGTATTCGATCGCATTTGTATTCTCTTCTGATCCATACAAAGCATCCTTCGGTGTTTTTTCCCCCTTCTTTTTATTTAATCGTACAATTGATCGTGTCTCGAATGTTTAAAAACAAAAATAAAGAAAAAAACGCAACAGGTTTGTATCTACATTGTTCAGAGAGTATAGAGAGATTGAAAAGTTTGTACAAAAATATAGAAAAAATGAGTAGTATAAATCTGTGTTAAATTAATAAAAAAATAATTGTATATAAGTACACAAGTTTAACAGTTGCGCACGAATGGAGACTTAGAGTAATCAGAATTCGGCTTAAGGAATGGATTAACTTAACAGTAAATTCTAAATGATACAGATCTTTTGTGCTACGCAAAATACGATTATTTTAATTAAATATAAGCGTATTTGCAATGATAAAAATGTAAAAAAAATATTAAATCTACAACGACGTACATTAAGCCTAAATATATGTCCTAAATTGTATAAAGAAATTTGTATACGTGTTATAAAATGTGTTAACATCATAATTATTTTTGGTAACTACTAACTAGTACCTTTGTTTGATATTTTGCTAGAAAAAGAACAAGGCACGTTGGTGTCATTCTATTAAAATAAATCGAGTGCAAATTGTTCTCACAAAATATATCGAAGATTAGCATTCACATCACTTCGTATTAACTCATCAAGGACGGATTAATGTTATTCTTTACAAAACTAATTTTACATTCATTCACAACATGTAAAACGTGCTCTTAAAAATATTTTTCGTTTGATAAAAGTATCTACCTTTCGAAGAATAATTTATAAACTACTAATAATCCAACTGGTATCATCCACGTGATCGTTGGTTTAAAGATGGCCGCCGGATTGCATCCGTCTCCGGTGCAAGTGTAGATGCAAGTTCGATAAGTCAGCTTGTCACCCTGTTGACTCACGTAATCGCAATAGTTCCCCAAATCCAACGACGAACAAGATCGTTTTGTACCTATTCCACCTATTTTAACATATAGATAACGATTTTTCGATTTTCCCTTTTTAATTAATTTCTATCGATTGTTGCTTCACACACACACAACGCACAAAGAAGTAACAAGTAATCGCATGACAGATGAGAGATGTTAAAGAAGCAGTGTGATGAAAATAAAGCAGCATGCGGTGTACTAATCTTTCTAATTTTTATGCAATTTTCATTTACATTTCGATCAAAACTTTAAAGAATCTTCATATAACACAAACAAAAAAGCTCTACTAGTGCACACTCGACAATGAGAACACCCAAAACAATGTATGAACCTCCAAATCGTCCCATGGATTTGATGCAATACTGTGCATCGTATACATGATTGCAGTTCGCCGGTTGTAAGGTACTTAAAACCAGATTGCTGTCTCCACAACTCATTTCCTCTTCTGATGTGCATTGGTAGCAATCCAGACTAGTCGCTTAATCGATTGAAAAAGTATCGATTAAAGCGTTTGTTATCGTACGTGTGCAATTCATGGATTTATTTAACATTAGAATTTGCCATTATGTACACTGATTTACCCAGCACATTTTCTAATATGAAACGACAATATTTTTACTGCACATGTCCTATTTTCACTATACATTGAATAACAAAAGAGTAATGATTTGTCGTTACACATTGAATGTTAATCGTCATCCCTATATGCAAACTGTTAGTTCCCTAAAAACCAAGTCGAACCGAGATGATTATCGATCGTGCATTGATAGCTTCCACATGCTTCGATGAATCGACACGAAGATGCCACTATATGATGTAAGGTTAGTTTTTCTTTCGAAAGTGTTAAATTTCGTATCAAATTCCCCTTTTCCGTGATATGTAACCTGAACAGCCGATATTGTTTTACCCTCGAATCTGCCTATATGCTTCACACAGTACTGCGCCCCGAAAACAGCATCGCAAGGTTGCGGTTCAATATCGATGTCGCTCGAAAGAAATTCGTTGCATTGGAAGGGATGCGAATTGCTTGTGCTGTTGCATTGATAGCATCGTAAACTGTGGACTAAAGGAAAAGAAAAAAAAAAAGGAGGGAGGGAATTTAATTTATTCTTTTATTGGTGGGCTCATCGAATTAAATCGAAAGACGTTTTAAATTTTTATCGTATTATAACCTATAATACAACACAGAAGTATGTTTCCAGTAGCAGTTAGGGCCTGTAGTTATTTATTTATTTGAAATAAGGACAAAGTTCTATAGACTATGAGTATGCAAGAGTCAAAACAAGTACGATAATATACGAAGTGGAACGATACGAATTGTACGATTTGTCATCATAAGGAACATTTAGTTTCCATGAAAAATATAATTGGCCTACATAGCCTCTTATCGTATTGCGTGGAGCTTTCGATTCATATTTCTCTCAAGCAATGATTAACATATTTTGTAACGTTAATATGCAGTACGACTTTATTTTAAAGAGTATTTGTACGACGATACTTGTCGTTTTGTTTAAAAGTAAAATTAACTACTAACTTCAAACTGTCATTTAAAGATAAGTATTCAATTCAATCGATCCTCTTCCTTGATCCTTATAAATCTAAGTTCTATATTACTTAATATAAACAATATAAAGAATTACAAATGCCCCGCCCAAAGGACGCCACGATGTTCACATCTTGTATAGTTACGTGCATTAACCTTACCACTTTCGACGAAAAGCAAGAATGCCGCGAAAAGTGCATAATTTCTAATGCCGCCGATGGCGCCCATTTCGAAAGCTCTCTTCGTTCAGAATTACAGACGACACACTTTTATTGAACGTAACACAAAGTCTCTAAATGTTTTTTAGACACTAATTGCTTGAATAATCACAACCGTGCACAATAATAACCGTCGTTCGAGTTTACACTTAACGAAACAAGAGTCACGACGACGCGAAAGCGACTGACTTCGTAAGATGGAAGGGGATCTCGAATACCACGAGCTGTGCCCGAATTGTTCCGACTCCATCCGAAAATAGTCGAAACAATTTGACGTGATCTATAATCGATCCGTACTAATATTTCAACTTTTTATAATCATTTAATGTTTAAATAAGGTAAGAATATTACTAATGACAATTAAATTATATAGATTAGCGAATATTTATTTTTGATGCCTTTTATACATAGACGATATAACAGACTCTAAAATTTACACATAAAGGATGTACATACATATACGTATACGTATTCACAGTAGGAGAGATATACTATAATTTGAAATCAATTTGACATAATCTAAATAAAATCTGTAAATATCATTAAGAGTACTATTTTTCTGCCTAAACTAATATCATAACTTATATCACTCATGTAAATTGCTTATGTAATATAAACGTAACATCTTTAAATTTTACATTTCTAAAAGGCGAAAAAACATCATCTTTTAACAATACAGCAAATTACTTAATACTTTTTTTTATACGTGCTAATTAAATACCTTATGCAATTTTTATGCTTAGCATACGTAATTTTTTATATTTAAAGTATTTATTAAAAAAAAAAATCATAAAGCTGCAACTGATCGCTAAAGCATCACTTTTCTAAATACAGTGATATGCTTTACACGCTAATTTAGAATTTTTTTTTGCACTCTCGTTATTCGGTAAGTCTTCGATTAACTATACTATCTCTACTGACTTTTTCGACTTGGAAGACTTCGATTTGTTTTGTTCTATTTTATGACAATGCTTTTTAATTGCTTTTGAAGTTCCTCTTGCATTTGGCTTATTAGACAAGAGTATTGTTTTCGAGAGTGATTTTGTTGCCTCCGGTGAGTTGTTAGATGACTCTCCAACTTCCGGCCGCCCTTTATTCATTCTCGTGGAAACAATTTTCAATCTCTTCGCTCCGTGTTTCACGATTGCTGTTTCTTCGGAAGACAACGCCATTTTCGATAACTTATTTGTCGTCACTAGTTTTTTATTTACATACTGAATATCCCTTATTTGTACTTCCGAAGAATCGTTGATACATCCGAAGCAGGAATTTTTCAAACGATTTTCGGAAGACTTTAAAAATGATTTTACGACGTTCTTTGGCCCAATTATTGGAAGTTTTGAGCCGTTCTCAATATTACTGACACATTGACTTTTTAACGGTCTACGGGTTAAGGTTTGTCGAGGTTTTTTATTATTTTTTATTCTTTTTACTGCGGTATAAAGAGACGTGGTACGACGAATGATGCATGGTTTTTTAACGAGACTTGTGTCACTCTTCAACGAGTTCTTTGACCCAGAAGAGTTGCTTATTTGAGATTCAATGTCTTTTAAATTATATGAATCTGAGGGTATGATATTATTATCATCCTGTGAATAAAAGTGCATATAAGAAAATAAATACAATATAATAAACATTATACAATAAACAAATTTGTGAGAGAGAGATTGATTTCTTCTTACTTTCCTATAATTTTTTGTTCCAACATTCGTTATCACAATTAAAAAAGATAAGGTACACAAATTATACTTCTTATACACTGATAGGTTTGGAATAAAAACATTTAGTACTGTTGACAAAACAAAGACAGTTCATTCAGCATTTTCTTCTGACTGATTGTTGTAAACCTAATCCACATATTATTTTTGAACAAAATTTTTAATGTATTAGAAACACATAAATTGCATTACAATTGACATGGCACTGGGACTGGGGATTAGCAGGGATAAAATAAAAATAAGGTAAATAAATTATCGCTAAAAATACTGTAGATTTATTAAAACAATGGGACATGTATGTATATTCATGTGTGTGTACATATGTGTGTAGAACAGGATACATTATAAAATTTGTATACATGAATTTATACATAGCACTCCTTTCAATTGATAACAACATTTACACTTAAATAGTGGAAAGCATGACAATAAGTACTGTATAAATTCTTTTGTGCTTCTTAAATGAAGCTGCAGCATTTTTTTTCTTTCTCTTTAATACTAGTTTCATGTAATAGTACAACACACATTCATACTTATTTTTGTAATAGACACATGTACTTCGTATTTTTTTTAAACAGTTAAAAAGTATGTAAAACAGTCAATTTTATCACTGAATTATACAAACAATAAGGGAAAAATCTAAAAAATCCACAGTTATTGTCATTCATTTGGTTAATTACGGAGTAGAATCATTTTTTTGTTAAGTTCAATACTAATTTCTAATTTGAAAATCTGCACATCTTTCGCAAAAAGACTCCATCAGCCAAGAGATTTATGGTTCAATCGTCTAAACCGCTATGTTTTGTTTTCGCTAAAGAAATAGACATCATTAATTACACATGTGTGTATTTCCTAATATCACTCGCAACCGTGAAATAAGAAGTCAGTGCATGTGGTATTACTTTAAGTGCACTTATCTATTGTCATCAGAAGCATAGTGTATAAAAAATGATCCAAAGGATATAAAAAAAAAGGATGTATTTTTTGCTAAAAATATAAGCATTAGCATAGAGTATTTTATACTCTGTCAATTGGTTCTAATATAAAACAATCAAAAAATTGTACAGTCTTAAAAATTCATATATGTACTAAACTTTACATTATAAAAACACAATTAGGCAAGAAGAATATTTTATATACATTGTACGTTTTTGTTAATAAACGCAACTTTTAAACTGTAAAAAATTGCACTTTATACACACTTTGTAATTAATATAAATTACGTAATAACCTATAAAAAAGAGTAGACAAACAGTTTTTTCGTAAACCTTTATAGAAAAGTATACCAAATATTATTGTCATGCATACACATGTATTAGATGGAAGACCCATTAGTTCAACATAATAAAAATTTTACAAGATTTATATTAGTCGCATGTTTAAAAGTACTAAATACCTAATGCATTATCATCATAAAAATTTGTCATTTACAATATCATAATATTATAAAATCAGAATATATTTTTCCTATAATAACAAATTCATAATTTTGTTATTAAAATAAAATAATATACAATTTATATGTATACAAAATCTCTCTCCCACATTTTGAACCAGCAACGTAATGTGCAATTTATTTAGGCACTAATGTGTCTTGGTATTAATATATGAAAGCATACCAAGTTAATGGTATTATGAATTAAGAGAGTACACACTGTCTTATATTAACAGCTGAAAATTCACTTTCATTATTTACATCAAAATTTACCTTATGCAGAGTTTTGCCGTTTGGCGAAGAAAGACTGTTCACATATGCTAATTTTAAACATGATCTTACACCCCTCAAAGAGCGGTATTGGCTATTTGGCAGTCGACTATTAGGATTATTATTTGTAAGGTCAAGAATAGAAGGGCCTAATGCTGCTCCAACCTGTAAACACAGTCGAATAGATCATTTATGTCTGTTTATTCTAAAACAAAAGATATTGAATGAAATGTAGCGAAGTTTTTCACCGCTTCGAAAACCGCTGGGGTGTATTTTGGTGGAACAAACATAGAAGTTACAGGTTTGTTTACACCATCACGAACTCTTGCAGGTATTGTGTTTACAATACGTCCAGAATTGTAGTTACATTCGAGTGTATAACTACGTATAAGCCCAGTTAGTTTATATACAGCTACACGACCTGATCCTTCCCTTGACATACCATCTTTTTTATCTCTGCAAAAATATTCTTCACGTGAAATATAAGAGTCACGGTGACTTCCACTTTAACAGTGATAGCAAGACTTACATTATATACATATTTCTTTCTGTAAAATTGCACGAAGAAAAATGGAAGTTTGGATTGTTAATCGACATCAATTTTGGTAGAAGCATACACATTATTGTATCCTCTACGTTATCGAAATAATTTCCGTACATGAAAACACCCTTCTTCGAAGCATGACCATGAAAATCAATGTATAGGTATAAACCAGAATCCTCTTTTGGTAATTGTCCTATGCCAACAGCAGTATAAGTTTTTTTATCAGATTTAAGTTCTACAGAATTATTACTTTCTTCTGCTTTATTACACAGGCCTTCTCCACCACCTTCACATAACGTGAATAAATAAATATAAGAATTTTGCTGATCACGTTGAATAATTCAATTCTAAATATCATACCCTGAGGCATGTCATCCAAATTCGTTTTTGGTAACGCGCATTCCTGAAAAATTTCCGGTTGATCTTTATGTTTCTCATCTAAGGTCATAAGTGTTACCTATTATTAAAATAGTACGTTAGTGCTTATATTTTTTAATTATTTTTCTTTAATTATGGGAAAATTAGTACGTGTTAGTATTTGCGTGCAGAAGTATTGATTCTTGGAAAATTTTACATGTTCACAAAATATATAAAATGGTAAAAAAGTACGTTATTTATTATTACCTGTTGAAGTAATCTCGTCGTTGTATCGCGGACTATATTTGCAATTGCACAAGAAGAATCAATAATAGTTAAAGTATTTTCACCATTTCCTAAACACATATTTGATGTTTCATCCTCTTTTGGTAGCTGGTATGAGTAATGATAATACCTTGACAACAATTTTTTCCATGAATTTTTTTCATTAAAACATTGAAACAACAGAGGAATAATTCTTTCCTACCTAATCAATGTTCTTGCAGCATATATGGTTGGATGATCCTTTAAAGAAGGATTAAGATAAACCCTATTAAGATTTACTCCTCTGGTATCCATTCGATAGTGACCTCTGGCTACACCATCAGGATTGAGCATAGGTATCAATTTGAACACGTACAGGCGGCGGAGATGAGCTGCAATTTGATCCTCGCGATTTACAAGGAAGTTAAGGAAACCATTAAAAACAAAACTAGATGGTGTTTCTCCTGGATGGACCCTTGCACTAATAAAAATTACCTAAAAATTTCAAATTAGAGTACTACTTTTATATACATGAGTAACTTAAATGTTTTAACTTTTACATAAAATTTAAACTGAATTATGTACTTTTTTATCCCAAAATTTAAAAGGTCTTTCCTCATTTTTGTCAGGAAACATATTATTCAGTCTATCTTCTCTCTCTGTAGATATGTTATGAAATGAACTTATCGTTATTAAATCCATTCTTCTTCCCTCCAGTGATTTTATTGCACATTCTCTATGATAATAAACATCATCTGCAGATGTTATAGCTCTCTTTGATACTCTTGCTTCAACTCTTCTTAAATAATTTTGTAGATCATTATAAGAGAAAGGATAAGTGAATGCAAAATATGTCATGGCTTTAGGATTTTCAGGAATAGCATAAGTAAATGATAATGTAAAATCACTTCCTTTCTGATCCAGCTGAAATATTGTGAATTAATATAGAACCCTTGCAACAAAGAAGGCATTAATACACATAGAATATAAAAAAAATTACAGTGTAGGTAGGTCTATCACGAATTCGTTCCCAATGTAGATGACCAGGTACAATTTTAAAAACTGGACACATTCCTTGACTGAACATTTTAACTTGTTTATTCAGGTTTACTATATTAAATTTAACACATGCTCCTGGAGTACTAGCTTTAACACCAAAATAAAACCATGTTCTATTATTGTTTTGAAACTGTGTTCCATGACAATCATGTTTTGTCCACAAGTTAAACTCATAATCTGCTGTATCTTCTGAATTTGAGCTTTTGCATGATTTATTTTCTGATTCACATCCATCTAAATCAATTAAATATGGAATTATCTGTTATGTCCTAATGTATATGATAAAAAATGTAGGTCAAGGCAAAATTACCCTTTTCCAATATTTCTGGCTCTTTTACTAGTTCAACCCTTGATAAATTGGCTGAATCAAAGTTATTATAAAATGCAAAACCTCCACATGAAATATAGTCGCCCGGATTAGCCATAATGTGTCAAAAGGTTATAAGGTTGTCTGTAAAATACTTGTATGAAATGTTTCACGCGTCCGTAAAGAACATGATACTTTGAAAGGTATAAAAATTTGTATTATTTTTGTTCTCACTTTCTCTGATATTACGAGCAAATTTCTTCGTTTGTAGCGTTACTTTCATATTAAAAAAGTCATGTTTGACAGCTATCTCGAAATCGTTGCGATTTCTAGTTAGAACGCCCTTTATAGCAAGAAATAACTAATGCACTTTTCGAATTGAGATAAACACCTTTTTACATTTATTTTCACTTAAATGATATGCGATATGTTATATACGCGCAATATTCCCACCAATACCATTGTTGTACCTAATACAAACATGTTTACAACTTCATCATAGCATTCCATATATCGGACCGACCACTAATTGTGACAGAATGACGAGTGTCGCTATTTTTCAACTGTTTTAAATTCTTTTTGGCGTATTGAACGTAATGCTAATAAAATATGTATCCTCGTTTGTTAAAACACATTTAAGTTTAATACGGGAATTCGGTGAACTTTCCAAAATGTTACTTTACCGTGTAAAAGTCAAACCTACTGTCTCATTGCGTGTTACGTAACTTGGTTTTTTAAATATTTTTTAAATATTAGATATACCTGAGATGAAAGAAAATTGCCAAGAATACTGGAAATAATAACAGGCAGGTAGCACAATAAAAATTGATTGACAATCCAATTTATTCAAAAATATCTACACTTTGATACAATTGAATACTATTTGCAATAAAACTGTGCCAGTCATCGAATATATAGGAGGGCTTTCTATTAACAATTATTACTGTTGGCATAATTTGGCACAATACCCCAATTATTACGTACTCATTTCGACCCGTTAAATAATAAGGCGCGAACAGAAATACCCAATGAAATACCGTCGTCACGTGCCTCGCAAGTAATTGTGAACAACATTTTACATCATAGAAATGCTTTTTTTACAACTAATTACTTCCTGTCTTTTATCATATATAACAAGATCGATAACATTTCATAATAAGAATAAAAATGTTAGAAACGTTAGAACAGTGTTATCTAAATTATCAATGCGCAGATCAGACCTATCGACAGGTAGCGCACTCTATCTCCCGCACCGACAGTGTGGATAAGAATTAAGTCGCCAAGGGTCGATTCCAAACATTTCAGTGTTTCACATTCACTCCTGTAAAGTTTCAAACGTGTTTAATCTTCGACACTTTTAATACCATTACAATAATCAATTTAACAAAATAAAAAATCAATCGAAACGGCGACAATTTCATCGCACACGAACCGTAAGTGGCGACTACGCGAGTCGAAGTGTACGCATACGATATCGTTTTCCATTACGTTTTCCACCGGTGTACCTCATTCTTAATTCACGTTCGCCGATCTACGAGGGTCATTCGCATTCAGAAGTGTTTCTTGCGTGCCAGGGGTAGAAAAACCACGATTTTCCATCTCGTCGCCCATCCATCGAACCGCCAGTGTGGCAACGCACGTCAACGAGCAGACGATGCGCCCACTGTCAATGGCTCAGCCCGGCAGTGTTACGCACACGTACGAACCGGCTATAGATGTGATCGTACTCACACCCATACGAAATCTCGTATCATAAGAGGCAGGAACACGCAGTCCCTATGCTCAGACTGTACTTCTCAGTAGCTCAGAGCAACACGGAGCTGACCTGTGACATTCTGACTCTCTTTCCTCTTCGCGTCCAGTTTGACTAACTTACGTGGCGGGTACTAGACAACTTGAACCAACATGTGCGGTGAGTAAAACACTTTCTAAACAATGTATCGCATTTCCTTCTGATTTTCCATGCGAATCGCTGGTATTGGCGGACTGTTCGACCGAAAAATTTCAACGGTGAAAGCGTGAATCTGTATATATGTACCATCGGTGAAATGTCCAGCTGACAGATCATTCGGGCGTTTCGTCGTCGTGAAAACGCGCCACCGGCGCGGTCCTTCCTCCACGCTGGTCGATTCGACATCTGGCATGTCTAATTTTCGCGTTCGCCAAACTAAACGTCGCCCGTAGACGGCTGTGTCGCATTTAAAAGCTCGCCATGTTGCGCGCTCGTGAATTAAAGCTTGTTAAAGTTGTTTATACCAAGCACATGGTGGATCGGAACGGTCAGTTTTAACGTGAAATATTTCGCGCGTTTTGATGCTTTCGTTTCTGGGACAGAAGGAGGATACACACATCGCGTAATCATCTTTTAGAGAGTTTATATACATCGTTAAAGGAGAAATTCTCTCAGCTTCTCTATGAAAAATCTATAAAAAGAACGTGTTTTTAAAATTACGTTTCAATATTTGTAAAATTCTTGCGTCAAGATACGTACGTCTGTTGGATGTGTGACGTAAAATAGTGTATTTACGTTTGTCAAATGAGCGACCATTTTAAAGGTGAATTTGCATAAAATTTCTCTGATATACTATTTGCCCAACTTATTAACCAGTTTTAATTGATCGTTGGATTTTATTTTATTTGCATTAAATATCGATCTCAAGGCTGATAAAAAAAATTTCTCTTTCGATAAAAGAGAACGAACGTTCCGATAACATCGTACTTTATCGAACTATTACATACGAATGTTATAACAGTATAAACGATGCAGTAACTCGTTTCATTCGAACACTGTTCTTGGATAGTCGTTATCGTGCTCGATAGAGCAACTAGTTCGAAACGAGCAGGAGGGAAAACGGAAATGGGATATCGTAGGCTGGAATAATGAAAAATCTCTCGTATTAGCGAGCAAACAGATAAATTTCGGAGGGTTCTGATAAGCGTTTCGAGCGAGCCCCGCGTTGCATTGGCATTCACCTCGACGAGAGGGATTAACGGTTCACTTTTTTACTCGTGGCAACCTTGAGAATATCAATGTTTAATTTTCTTCCTTCCACAGTAAGTGAATGCGCGACACGACAAATAAACACAGCCACGAATGGAAAATTAGAGAAGATATCGTATATTTGGAATATCGTAAATTTGAAAAGAGAAAGCAGTACATACATGTGGAATGCGTAACTATACAGGGTGTTCCGAAAAAATGGTACTTTCTCCGTTAACAATTCCTCAGCGTTTTACCCGAGGCGAGGAAATATTTATTTTACTAAAAAATTCTACAAAACACGATTTACACTGAAATAAATTTAAAAAATTTCTTTATTTTTCGGTTTTGCGGTCTTCTGATGTAATTCGTATTGAAAGTGTTAGGAAAAGATAGTTCTAACCTACTCTATCTCGCTTTCGGTATTTCATATCGACGCTTAACTGCAACTATACGCATGTTAATCATAGTTCTCCGGTAGTGAACGCTTACAACATTGGAATTTACTTCCTCGAAGCGATGAAAGGAGTCGTTTCGACCCTATCGGAAATTTGTCACGGAGGACTGCTCGGTGGAGGGACGAAAAGTCACGACGTTACGAAAGCTTTTTGCGTCACTGTTCCAACCGTGTAATACGTTGTTTTTTGATCGTTCTGTTACCGCGGCGAAAGTCAAGCCGTCCGCGGTTCTACCGAGATAAATACGAACGAAAGGGAATTTCGACGTGATCCTATCTCGGTTGTAAAATTATTGATAAACAGCGTGCAACGTGAATCTTAATTGAGAGAAGAGAGAGAAACGAGCATTCTGATGCCGTGTTAATTGAAACTACACGTCGATATTTCATTTTCCGGCATTACCGCGCCATTTCTACAAATAGACTATAAGTTCGCCATCTCTATTTCGTATCAATATTCATGAGCCTTGCGTTTAACGCGTTATCGAGTCGCAGTAATCTTGCACCGGCAACTTCTTACCGGAATTTTCATCCTTGTCATTCTTCGTACTGTTGAAAACGTAAATAATATTAACACCATCAAATTTTCTAATTAATTTCAAAAATTCACATTTTCCCCTAATTTCTATTTTACAAATTCTCGAGTAATTTTTCGGTATGCGGTCGGTCTGCGATCTCAGATTTTCCCAAGACATCTTCATTTCTCCCTCAAATCCCGAGCAAATCACGTTTGAGCGCTCTGTATCCTACAGCGGCGTGTCTAAGACGCTTCATAGATCGTACTAATTGCAGAGGTTCGATTTAATTAGCAAGCCAGCTCGATACGCCGCAGGAACTCGAAGAGAAGGAGGAGTAGAGGAGGTCGGCTTCGCGTTAAGTTTCTAGTTGGAATCGGGTCGCGTGTGTATTTCGTACCCGGCTAATATCGTTCTCCCGGCACGAGCACGTTTTCCAGACACGCGCCACCATTTCCATTTTTCCCAGCGAACGATCCAAGGTGCGAGAGACGGTCGACGACCCCTCTGTTTACGTCCCGACGCATAATGTTCCCTCCGCGGAATACAATTTCCATATCCTTGCTTTGCACCTATTGGAAAGAACGAAAAGGGCAGTCGCGAGGTGTCTCTTCTCTGACGATCGTTCCGGGCATTACCACATCTCAACGACACATCTTGTTCGAAATGTCGACTCGGTTGGGTAACTGCTTGGAAATTAGTGGAAACGAGATGACGTTCGATCGATGAGTTAGCTTTCTTCAAATCGTCGATAGAGTCCCTTGGTGAAGAGGAGAGAAAGGAGAGACGATGGAGAAAGACCTTCTTCTTGATTGCGGAATAGCGAAATTATACTTGTTCGCCACTTTGTAGATACAGAGGCGCGGTTGTGTATACACCGTTGTGAAAGAGAAATGTAGTTATTAGTGAAATGTTCGATTTCTAATCAATTGCAGGTTGATCGACCGTGCGTTCAGAAGTTAGGAGTTTTCTTTTGTTTAGTTTTAGTAAATTAGTTTCAATTTGAGAGATGATACATTTGGCGCAACGAGGAGGAAATTTTTGGTTTTTCAGTGTTGGAGAATTTAAGGGTCAGCTTGAATTTAAAAAAAAAAAGGAAGAAAAACATAGAAAGCAACGAAGAGGAAATTTTTTGGAGAAATCAGTTGACGAGAAATGCTTGGAGAATTTTGTACACGTTCTACGACTCCCTAAATTATCATACTCTTATCTTCTTAGAGAGTATCCTGTGAAAACTTTCTTAGAATTCTGTACGCATAAACCTGGATTTCCCTGAAAGAAAGTTTCCCCGGAATTTCCAAAAGCCTACTCCAGTAACCGCAATGTCCTCTTAACCCTTTGCTGCGACATTCGATTAGTACCCTTTCACTGCGACGTTCGACTCTATCCACGTGCCATAAGTGCAAAATTGTTGTTATCACTGATTTACTAAATTAGTAACATGAGAAATGCAAGAAAAGTTGAGGATTGCTAAAGTGTCTTTGCTCTGAAATTACAGATATTGTAGAGTAGCTGGAGAAATGCAGCGAAAGGGATAAATTCCACAGAGTGACCCATTGTTTTCTCACTTCAAAATTAATTTTAATAATAACGAAATCTGAAAGAAAAATTTTGAAACGCAATAAAAACGAATTATTCAAGTTTTAAATGGTAAAGCAACTTATCAACTATTTTCTACATACACTACCGGCCAAAAGTTTGGAATCACTGAGCATTGCAATTTACCCAAAAATTTCCAGAAAAAAGTCAGCGACTTTGAGAATCTTTTATCATTCGATACGAGATAAATTGACAAATCTAGAATTGAAATAAACTTGAAATCTATAGAAAATTAGCAGCAGATTTAATATTGATGAAAAGTGGGAGGTGATTCGAAACTTTTGGCTGGTAGTGTACTTCTAACGTGAAAAATACCCAAAATGTAATTAACCCTGGCGCCGCGACAAATTTTTCACAAAATTTTCGTTTCATTTCAAAATTTGTTTCACCGAATCAACGTGGAAGAGCGCAGAGGAGAAAATTAAGGCCAAAAGACTCTAATAGCATAATGCTAACAAATGTTCAGAGCTCCTATAAGCGCCAATAGCAGTGAAATGGTTAAAAATCCCAAAAATGTATTCTCCTCAAAATGACCAAATAAAACGAACACAAAAACTCAATCACACCTGAAAACCGTTAAATTCTACAATCCAAAAACCTTCTCTCCTCCCATACAAAACAACACAACCGATTCTTCGCCAACAATCAATCCACGATTTCGTTTGATCACCGGCGGTGGTTACAAAACGAGCGTTTCAAAACTGCATTCCACCAAATTACGGAAGCATACAACACACGGCGCTCGTTACGTTCTAGCAGGTAACAGGACTAGCTTGAAGTGTTGCAACGGCAACGTGACTCAACCGGTGCTACCTAGTATCGCTTCTACAAAGTTCATCGAAAGTTTATCCGAAGCAAAACGGTCCCTTTTGCTCGGCTGGTTTACCCTTTCGTGGCTTCGCCGACTGCTCTCGTCAAACCGTACCTGCCTGCTTGTCTAACCGTACTGGGACTATCCTTGTCCCCGGGAGGCAACGGCGAAGTGTCGACGCGGTGCTACTCGCCACAACCAGCCGCCGCGAGTGAAAGTTCGCTCGTGGCGGACCTGACGCGACGTCGTGAGAGGGTGCAGGCGTTTTACGGGACGGTTACACGTGACATTTAGACGGTGACTTTCGTGCACAAGGTAGATAATACGCACACAAAGGTGTGGATACGTATGGAGAAGGAACGACAGTTCTGCCGTTCTCGGTATCCTCGAATTATACGGGACTGTGGCGCCGAGATCCTTTTGCACCAGACGCACACCAGTTTACATTTACCTTCCTCACGAAATTCAAACACACGGCCTCGTGAACAGAACCTGATTTTTGTTTACGTCCAGGGAATTCCAAGAGCAGAATCGGCGCTGACTTTTTCACGAAAATAACCAGTTGAAATTCCTCGAGCTCTCCCTCCGCTCTCCTCCGTTCTTCTCTTCTTCACACGCCTCTCTCCCTTTTATCCATTAACACCTTTTTTTTTTTCTTTCGCGTTCGTTTTAGGGGGTAAAAGGAAGAGTCGAAGAAGTGGAAGCTATGTTTTTTCATTTAGATTAGGAGTTTGATAATAGTCAGCTGAATGGAATGCTGCTGGTACATTGAGGGGAACTGGTTCATCTGGAGAATTGTTCATCCTGTGTAATGCTGTGTTAAGTCTGCTCTCATTGAAGTGTAAAGAATCAAAGTGAAAGTTACACTATTGCTCTATATTAAATTTTTTGCCATTTTTATATTCACTCTTTCTTCTCTCATTCAAGTGTAAAAAATCAAAGTGAAAGTTACACTATTGCTCTTTATTAAATTTTTTGTCATTTTTATATTCACTCTTTCTTCTCTCATTCAAGTGTAAAAAATCAAAGTGAAAGTTACACTATTGCTCTATATTAAATTTTTTGTCATTTTTATATTCACTCTTGATTCTCTCATTCAAGTGCAAGGATCAAAGTGAAAGTCACACTATTGCTCTGTATTAAATTTTTTATCATTTTTAATTTTGATAAATTTTGATATTCACTCTTTCTTCTCTCACTGAAATGTAAAACAAATCACCTTAAACGTTCCTTCGTACGAAGAAAGAAAAATCAGATTACAGAGGGTTAACAAAGATTTATTAAGCAAAGTTCCATTGCAAAATGCGCTTGTTGCAAATAGTTTTGCAACGGCGTCTAGCGTTAGAATTGATTCTTCGAGGTCGGCGCAACAGAAGAGTAGGTACGTGAAACTTAAGGTAAGATAGGGCAGCAAAGGAGAAAGATAAAGACGAAATGGTAACCGTTCCAATTCTGGCCAGAGTAAAAACCCTGACGAAAATTGTATCACGTATCTAAGAGAGAACACACGCTGTTCCTCAAGGTCTGTAGAAATCAAGAAGAGGATCATTTTGTACCGTTAAACACGATTACCAAAACGAACTTGTTACCCGATTTCTTGGGCCGATCGAATCGTTTCGTGTCAGTAGGTCGTCGAAGAAGACTCGAACAGCACGCAAGTGATCATTACAAATTCTGTTCGCGGGACATCAGACGCATCTGAATGAATTTTCAGTAAGTGGGTCCGAAGACGAAGCCGAACGTGACTCAGAAGAGTTGAAGTCACACCTCTCGAACATCGTCCATTTTTCCATGTTCGATGGAACAAAAATGTCTACGATTACCTAGAAATACTTGAAAGTGAATTCGAAAGAGGATTTCCCGCGAAAGACGCGATATTGCGCCCTCGATCTAAATTTATATCGAATCCTCTTTCGTCTCTTTATCGATCATTTTATCAATAGGGATTACATCGGTAGAAAAAAAAAAAAGACCAAGCAACTTCCGGTCGTCGTTCAACGATTCGAAGCTTATCAGCCGGGGAGTGCTGTAATTTATAAAAGAAAAACTTTACAATTTCATTCGAGTGATACGTTATCGATCATTGCTGCACGTCCTATTGTTTAATCGTTCTCTCTCTTTCCGTCGAAACGAAATTTGAAAAAGAAAGACTCGCGCGTTCGTTGAAGAAAATCGGCCTTGTGAGATAATTGGATTAGGTTTATCGCGATTGTCAATCTCTCTCTCCGTTCTCTGCAGCGATGTTACAAGACAGACACTCTTTTCTTTCCCCCCTTTTGCCCATTCCTCTCTCTCTCTGCTGAAATTTTTTCCAGTTGCACCCTTCCGCCGTTTAAAGATCGGACTATCTCAGAAAATTCACTTATCGCCGATTGCAGAGAGCAATCTAATCGTGACGTGATTGTTCCGATCCTCGTCGACCCGTTCGCCAATCTGAAAATCGAATTACACTCGCCGGTCGATGCATTGTACCGACTCGCCGCGGACTGGTACCGACTTTTCGTAAGTTCGTCCGACCAGTGGGGTTGGTTCTTCCACGTACGGTGATCCATTTGTCGTCGCTGTTCCCTCGTTCTCTGTGATCGATGATGGGCGGTAGGTTCTACAACGCCTCTAAACGTTCATCCTAATTACCTAAACAGTGACTTCATTTTTGTTTCTCATACATGCTTCACGTACGCGAAAGGGGGATCTCGATGATTTCTCCTCGACGATCGCTAACTGTACACGGTGATCGTTCGATTTCGAGTGAGCAGACGAAATTTGGAAGAGGTAGGACTGAATGAGTATGTTCCTGTTTATTTTGGAGAAGATAGTTTGTGCGATTGGTAGAGAATTGGTTCGATTGTTCGAAGAGGTGAAACGAGAATGTTCCCGTTTCGTTTCGAGACGTCGAAGATAGTTGAGAAATTGTCTAGTTTCGATGGATGTGACGTTAGAATTTCTTTGGAGAGGTGAAGAGAGGTAAATTGGGTTTAGTTTATTCGGGAGGTGTAAAGTGCAGGAGATTTACCGGTAGATACGTAGAAGTTTATCACGTCGAACTATAGACTAGCATAATGTCGGTATCGAGTTATTGTACGCGATGGTTATCGTCGGGGCTCGTCATGTCGTACACATCGGTTTTTCTATCAATTTAGATAAAGGAAATTCACTATAGGACCGATACTATTACATGCACTCGATAACGTGATCGATAAATCGTGTTCACTGATTCTTTCTTTTTCGCTTCTGAACGATCGAGTCTCACTCGTGATAAGTAATCGCCAGTGCTCTCGAGTGTTCGTTTCTGTTTACTTAAAATTGTAGTAATTTCCGCTAGGTTGTTTCATTCATTTAGAGCGAGAGGGAGATTACCGGTCTTTAAAGACCGGAAGTGTTTGTTGAATGTACTGTATAGGTTATTTTGTCATTTAGCCGTCTTTCGATTGTGTACCTGTGAGTGTGTTAAGTTAGTTTTAAGTTCGTCGAGTTGATCTTTGCAGAGGGGAAATTGGCGGGAAATTCGAATAATTTGAAATTTGCGATTGCACGCGTGTTAATATTCGTGGTGAATATTAATAAGCGGGATTATTAACCACGTCGGTGAAGAAATTGTCATGAATTCCTGTAAAATGAAATCTGAGGTTGCTAATCGTTCTGAATTTCATTCAGAGTGATCGCTCAAAATTTCTGAATTTTTTCGCTCGTAATTTAACGCTCGTGCAATTCTTCGAAAATTAAAAAAGGGAACAATTTTCTTGGTAAGTTACTATTTTTAATTCGCTCGAATTGAAGAAAAGAATAATTTCCATTCCTCCCCGAAGAAAGATGACGTTTAACATCGCGCGACTTGACTCGTTCAAGCTGAATCATCTCCCGCGATCTAAAATCGTTACTTATCAGTGATCAACGATTGCTAATATCCAGCTAAAACCCTGCCTAATCGACGCGGCGACAGTTGCGGACACGTGAAAAATCCGTCGGTGTACGAAAGCGGCGAAGTGAATCGCCTTGCCGTGAAATCCGAATCGCGAAAAACGATTATCGTGGTCGATCATTATCGACGCCTTTCTAAATCGAGGACGTCGTTCGTTTCAAACACGATACTCTTAAATTCCCGCGCTAAGACGACCGATAGAATTGCGCATTGACCGATCGAATCACGCGGATTGTGTTCGCGACGTAACGTTATACAATGTTGTCTACCCAATAAGTATACCGATACGGAGAATCGATCGAATATCGTTAAGTAAGCGTTGGTGAACAAAACAAAAGTAGCTACAAAAGAGAGAGAAAAGGGTTAACTATATAGAGAAGAACGACGTTCTAACGAGCATTTCGTCTGATCACACGTATGCAAAGCTTTCCCTTTCACCTGCGGGACCGTGTGTATCGTGAATTGTATATACCTGTTCTCTACCCGTGCACACGCCACTCCCACGTGTGTAGGTTTGTTCACGGGCGACGACTTTTTGCATTTTTGCAATGCCGCGGTGGACCTCGAACAGGACCGTGTATCGATACACGGATATTCTTAGGGTAGGCGGGGTGA